GCAGTATTATCCAGTAAAAATGTATTAAACCATTGTGTAACAATAAATTTTTTAAGAATTGTCTGAAGATTATGAGAATATATTATAAAAGAAAGTAGTGTGGTACGGTGGTCAAGCTTTATGAATGCGGAAAACGATAGATATGGCAATTATAAGAGAGAGAGAATATTAATGAGAGTTCTGCATATATCCGCTGTTGTGTTTAGTGTGCGAATGTTGGAAGAATGGAGGCAAACCCAAGGCCGACAATGGCGGCAATACACTACTAAATTCCAAAATCCACCCCCATGCAGTCCATAGAACCCAGTTCTTGATTTTTATTTTTATTTTTTTTTTCTATTTTACACTCAGGCATCCCTAGTTGAAAATTGAATGACAAAGAAGAAATAAGCACTTTTTGGGTTTCTTTTTCTGTTTTCCATTATTTTTAGCTGGTAATCATAATCAAAAAGTTGTTTTTCCAGTTTTGGAAATGTGGGTTTATGAAAATTGTTCTAATCTCAGTGGGTTTAGCTTAGATTTTCAGCCAAGGCGGCATCATATAGGGATTTTGGTTTGAAGGTGCAGAGTGCAGAATCATTCTCTTCCAAGATTATCATGACGAGTAATCTTAATCAAAAAAATCATGACCGTCAACACGATTATGGTCGTGGGACCCTCTCTAACCATGGCGGAGGTAACGAGATTGGGGAAAATATATACGTGGATGATGTTCGTAGTAGTGGTGGTGGTGGTTCAGTAGCTGTTAAAACTTTGCAGCTTTTTGACATTATTCCTTCTTCAACTGACTTGAAATCCCCAGGTAAAGTTGTTCTTTCTTTCTTTCTCTTTTAATTCTTTGTGTAAAAAACTGTGAGAAAGAGAAAGGACACTGAAAATGCTATTTTGTTTGGTGATATGTAGGGGGAATGGAGGCAAACGTGGGGTTTCCTTTTACATCAGAACAATGGAAGGAGCTTAAAAGACAAGCTATGATCTATAAGTACATGGTGGCCTCTGTCCCTGTTCCTCCCGATCTTCTTTTTCCCATTTCCAGCCATTATCCTGCAGTTGCACCAGACCCTTCACGTAAGACTATACCCCCATCCTGGAACATCGAACTTTTGATGGGTTTTTAAGCTCACTTTTTGGATTTTTATTTGTTTTCAGCTCTTTCCTTTATTTGATTTGTGGGTTTTTCTTATTTGGTGCTAGGGGTAGTGAGTGGTGGTGGAATAATTAGCCACTGCTTGGAGTTTATTTCTTGAGAAGTGATTTGGAGAATGTATAGTTAAAAGTAAGAAAACGTTACAGAGAAATGTGAAAATGAATATTTTTTTATTTTGTTTTGGTTGAAAATGAATGGGAAAGAAATCAGTTTCAAACAAGGGATTACCTTTAAATCCCATCTTTGATTGATTTTTTGCTCACTTTATTGCTGATTTCATTTGTTTTCGGCTTTCTTTTCTTGTTTGGTGCTTGGGGGTAGTGATGACTAACTGGTGGTGGAATGTTTTCAAACTTCACATTTTTAATGGCTCTTTTTGCTCTATTTTTGCGTGTTCATTTTTTTTTAGCTTTCTTTTCTTGATTTATTCTTGTTTGATGCTTGGGGGTAGTAATAAGTCAGTGGTAGTGGAATATTTAAAGTCTACATCCCCTCGATGTGTTTACTTTTTGTTCTTTTATTGTATGTTCATTTTATTTGAGCTTTCTTTTCTTGATTTGATTTGTGGGTTTTTCTTATTTGGTGCTTAGGGGGTAGTGATGAGTTAATGGTGGTTGAATGTTTTAACTTCCATCTTTGATGGGTTATTTTCTCTGTTTCTTGTTTTCATGTGTTATGGTTTTCTATTCTTGATTTGATTTGTTGATTTTTCTTGTTTGCTGGTTTGAAAAAAGTGAATAGCGGAGGCATATTTAACATGAGAAATTCAAAAAATGGGGATTCTGAACCTGGAAGGTGCAAGAGAACGGACGGCAAGAAATGGAGGTGTTCTAAAGATGTTGCTCCAAACCAGAAATACTGTGAGCGCCACCTGCACAGAGGCCGTCCCCGTTCAAGAAAGCCTGTGGAAGTAAAAAACAATGGGTCTTTTAACACCAATCCACAAGCTACCATTGCTGCCTCTAACCAGTTTCTTGCATCAAATGAGACTTCTCTGCTATACTATCCCAAAACGGATGTAAATATTTCTACAGCCTCTTGCAAGAAACATAACAGCAGGTTGGTTTTTGAATGGCAGCTGGCTTGTGTTAAATCTGTTTGGTGTTTCATATGCATTATTGGATAGAATTTAGAATATAATGAACAAGATTTTAACTTTTCTTTCTTACTCAATACTACGCAAAACTATTCAACTTCCATATTCAATGTACCATTAATTGAGGCTTGTGTTCCATCTTAAGTAACTCAAACTCAAGCATTATACATTGATTGTTGATTTCATCTTTAAGCGATGTGGGATTATGCCCTTTATATGGTGTATAAGTATTTAATCGTACTAAACTGTCGAATGAATATGATTTAATTTATTTTCCTTCTTTATACTGTCGGGTCAAGCTCTGTCCGATCCATCTAATGGTACATGCTATTAATGTGTTGTTTTGTTTCCTTGTTCATTGAATTTGGCCTATGGATTGAAGGGATTTGGACTTGATGATAGAAGCTGAGATGGTGGCAATGCGTGTGGCTAATCCACAATGGCAGCATCTGATGAACACAGATATAGCAAATGAAGGCTCAATTTATAACACTAATGCATCTGTTTTTTATCAAGATTATGCCGGAAACCAGTCGTTGAATGTCTTCTCCTATGCAGATTACCCAGCCTCTGATCTTGTTGTTGATGGTAGTGGTGGTGATCGGTGCTATATAGGATCATTTCTCAACCCCAGTTTGGTGTCTTTGGAAAAACACTCACAGATAGAGACCACAAGGGAATTCAACGATGCATGGTCAAATAACAATGGCAATGCTGACTCCTCTGTATCATCAAATCAAGGGACGTTTTCCCCTTCCTCGCTCACTTTAACAATGGCAATGGCTGCTGGAGATATCTTAGATGAACAAATGGAAAAGATCGAAACTGGGAGTGGTATTGGAGACTTTGATGACCATAAACATGAAGATTCAAGTTGGCTAGACCCCATTTCTTCGATGCGTTTTGCACAAGGAGGGCCGTTAGCTGAGGCGTTACTACCCAGATCAACCACTCTAAAAGGCTCAAATTCAGCTTCTCCATATTATTCAATTAGCCCCTCAGCAACTACTGTTTCATCGCCATCCGGGGTTCTGAACCGGACATTGTTTTCACATTCTGATGGTAGTGTTTGCAATAGTCCAACTCTTGTAGCTCCACCAGGATTATCAGAAGCTGTTGCATTGCCATGGCTCAACTGGGCTTATGAGTTACTTTGAAGTTGATTCCTGAATTTGGTTATTTTGGGATGTTGCAATTTGCTTTTTGTGATGTGTTTCTTGTTTACTTTGTATGAGCATTTTCAATAGGAACTTCTGCAATTTGATACAGCAGAATGATGAATGCTTCTTGAAAGTTCAATATGTCTTTGTGATTGAATCATGTCACAATCAATATCTATAGATGTATGAATTTCACTCTAATATTTTCCAGTTGATTAATTCCAGAAGGATTTCAGGTATATGCCCAAACATGATCTACGTTCAATATTAGACTATAATCAGATTGTGTTTCATGTTATTGGATGAGGAGCTTTCTTGTTAAATCACCTTGGCAGCAGCTTTCATTGCCATCACCATTGCAATACCGCGCCTTTGCTCCGATTCAATATTATCCGACAAAGGTTTTTTTAAAAATTTGCACCATTGCTTGTGGAAGAAGTGCTAATTGGAAAAGCTTTGTTCTTATTTTAGCTATGTTGTATGGTGGTTTCTTGAAGGGATGGTTGCCATGGAATCCATCTTCCTTTTCCTCTCTTCTACATCAAAATAAACGAACAAATTTTCAAATTGTATTGGACTGGACACGACAATGGACAAGACTACCGTTGGAGATTCTATGAAAGATTGTGTTTGCTTGGAATGCTGGAAGCTGTGAAAGGTGGGGCGTGGGGTGGTTTAAGCAAGCTTTTCATTTTTGGTTGTGAAAGAAAAGACAACTGAAGAAATTCTCATGGCTTATGCATACCGACAGTTTTCCTTATGAAAAGAGCTGTTCAGTTATTGTGGCATGTCGTAGGCTTAAATTTTTGAACGGTGAGTTGATCCACTCAGTCCAGCTTGACCGTTAAGGCCTAAGACGGTGAGCAGGATGGCCGGGTGCATGTATTGCCCGGCAGCCTGATCCCACCCACATAGTCAAAGCCCTTGCTGCCAGATGTTCTGCACGAAGTCCTAGGGTTTAGGCGGACGAAGGCTTCAATGAGACTACATTTGGGAAGGAAGAGCCCTACATTGAAACTACCTTATTAGCTCCTAAAAATCAATAGGTAAAGAACAAGGCGCGCCATTCTAAACTCTAATTAAATCTCTATTTCTTTTCTCACACCCAATTCTTGCAGTCAACTTGATCGTCAGATTACCAATGTCATTCTAAACTCTAATTAAATTTCTATTTCTTTTCTCACACCCAATTCTTGCAGTCAACTTGATCGTCAGATTACCAATGTCATTCTAAACTCTAATTAAATTTCTATTTCTTTTCTCACACCCAATTCTTGCAGTCAACTTGATCGTCAGATTACCAATGTCATTCTAAACTCTAATTAAATTTCTATTTCTTTTCTCACACCCAATTCTTACAGTTGACTTGATTGTCAGATTACCAACCGTTTGAATTCCTTTTGTCTTTCTTTTTCATGTTTGTATTATGTATTTTCACATGGAATGGATTTCAAAGGTAAAAATTAGCAAATTGATTAACAACAAAAGGAGAATTTGCAACCCAGATTCTCTATCAATTAGATTTGTTTGTCAACAATGTTGGAGGTAGTGAAATCCAGACCAATGATTTAAAAAACAGTTTTTGACAATTTAAAAAATGGATGGACGTGATAATACCAACAAAGATTGTCATCCATATTGTACAAATAAAATTGTACAAATAGCATGATTAATTTAGAATTAAGTTATATTTATGCAAACAAGCCTTCAGCCTTGAATAGTAAATAAATCAATTCTCAATCTTTGAATTGTGTAATAACAGCCATCTCAATGAACATTCGATCCAATTATATATATATATATATA